GACCAGTTCGTCTCTGTATTGAAATACCAGTTTTCAGTTTTTTTCGATTACCGTCACATGATAACATACAAGTACATGATAAATTGTCGATACTTGATAAGTTGCAGTTGCTCAATAAGCTAAACTAGTACTTGTTATTCGAATCTTTATGCAGTGATATTTGTTCTAATAAGTTGTTTATTTTATTTCTTTTGTGCCCTAAATTCATGAAAGAAATGTCGAATAGCTTGTTATATAACTGTAAATAATATAAAAATATTAAAAATTAATTTTAAACAAATTTCTTTACACATTAGTTATTCTTTCACAATGCAGTCATTTTGACGGCTTTTGGGCAATATAGGTATATACTAAATTTCAGTCTTTCTAGTGTTAAGCATGGTTAGTCTTTACTGGTGGGGATCCCAGCTTCAACGTCTTTTCAGAGGGAAGGTGGCGGGGGAGAGGGGGTGGAGAGATTAACCAGGAAATTTATATACATATGTGCTAGCCCATGGACACAGACAATAGTGTGGTAAAGACCTGGGAAGGGCGGGTGCAGGGTAAGGGGGGTCAATAGGAAAAACCCCCAAAGGGGACATCTGTAATACTTTCAACAATAAAGATAAATTTTAAAAAATCAAAACTGTACACTTTGCAGCCATGAATTGAGTTATCTGTATAGAAACTAAAACCAAAACACTATACTTGTTTTCATCACTCAGATATTTTAAAATGAGTCAAGCTTCATAAGAAGTTTCTTTCATTTATTCTTGATTCTTGAAGCTCCATCAAACTACTCTATTCTTGTTGGCTTACTGTTGCTTCCAAATTTGTGTTGATTTGCTTTTCTTGTCTTATGGCTACAGTCACTGATATCCTGTAAAACTCATACATAAAGGAAGTCTGTTGACTTCCTTGTCCTCTTTTTTTTTTCAATGTCTCCCCATTCACAATACAGACCAGGCAAAGAGCCTGAGCTGAGGTGTATATGGGGTAAGTTTACTCTGCCTCCTATTTCTGTACAGTCAGTGTAAGAACACAGCCTGTGGTAAGCACCAGGAGGCCGACTTCCTTGTCCTCTTATAACAACTTCAAAACTGTCTTTTCTGATGATCTTATCCTCCTTCATTCCCAATGGAGAATCTCTTTAGCAAGAAGATTAGTGGCTGAATCTGGTCTTCATGAAAATATGAAGAAGGCAATTTAAATTCAAACAGTTAGAAGTTATGGTTTAGATCATTATAAAAGTTAGACTAGGAGTTTGACTAGATCAGAAGTGGGGAACCTTTTTTCTAGCCAAGGACCATTTGGATATTTATAACATCATTCGCAGGCCATACAAAATTATTATCAATTTAAAAATTAGCCTGCTATATTTGGTCAAACATTTAATTATCTCATCCCTAATGCCTTAGCAGGGCCAGACCAAATGATTTCATGAGCCTTATAGGGCCTGAGGGCCAGATGTTCCCCACCCCTGGACTAGATCTTAATGTTAGCTTAAATTATGTGCTTATCAGTGTACAAAAAGGAGAATCATGTTAGATTTTTAGGGAAACAATTTCTTCTGGCATTGGGTTCTGAAATTTCTTGAGTGTGACATCACATTGAAAAAAATGTCTCTAAGAGCCATATATTTTTGGGTCTATTATTCCCTCAGTACAAGCTCACATGGAACTCACAGAAAGAATTTCTGGGGAGCAAGACAAATACAAGCACATGAAATTTTCTATGATCATAAATGACCTAATCTACAGAGAAATAAAAAGTCTATCCTTCAAGCAGTCTTCTGTATTATTTTTCTCAACTAGAGTTTTGCCATACATTGGATAGCAAACTGTTTGAGATTACTTGGGTAAATACTTGTGATTCCCAAATATTGTGAAGAGGATACAACACTTCTTTATCTTTTGTTTAAGATATATTTTATTGATTTTTTACAGAGAGGAAGAGAGAGAGACAGAGAGTCAGAAACATCGATGAGAGAGAAACACCTATCAGCTGCCTCCTGCACATCTCCTACTGGGGATGTGCCCGCCACCCAGGTACATGCCCTTGACTGGAATCGAACCTGGGACCTTTCAGTCCGCAGGCTGACACTCTATCCAGTGAGCCAAACCGGTTTTGGCAACACTACTTTATCTTAATCTACTTTCTTTCCTACTGCAGGAGCTGCCAGCTCTATCTCAAAGTTTTTCTGAAAAACTTGTTCCCTGGCCTTAATCTATGTACCTCTTCTCTTTATATTCTTTTCTCTTTTCTGCACCATCAAATTCCAAATAATAAACCTGCCAAAGGCAGAATCTTCCTTGGAAGGTGGGGAAGGGGAGGAAGATTAAATAGAAAGACAAGAATCTCTTTAGCAAGAAGATTAGTGGCTGAGTCATCCTCTAATTTTTATTCAATCACACTGATACATGGAATTGGGCAAGCTTGGACTCTCATTGTGAGAGTTTGAAGAATGAAAATCGTGGACTAAAAGATTTTTTAAGCAAGTGTATAGACATTTATTGCAAGCATATACAAAGTTCCAAAGGGGATCCCCTGGGAGGGGTGCCCAAAGGGTATAAACCTGCTCTATCTGGGAAAAAACTGGTCCTCTGAGTCTCTTTGTCTATGGGTTTATAAATGCTGGAAGCTCTTTGTTTGCTCATCCTGCTCTCTAATTGGACCCTTCCTTATTTTATCTCCCCCATGCTTTCCTAATTGATCATTGTCTTCCTTATTCCTATATAGTATCAGTTTCAAAGTTTTAAAGCTTCAGAGCCCACTCAGAGCTCCGCCGTCCTCTTTTGTAAGATAAACATTCTAGTGGCTTAGAGCTCTCTCTGCCAGTTATGTATACACTAGAGGCCTGGTGCACGAGATTCGTGCACTTGGGGGGGGGGGCGGTGTCCCTCAGCCCGGCCTGTGCCTTCTCGCAGTCCAGGAACCCTCAGGGGATCGCAATCTGAGACCCCCTCACTCCTTACCGCCTGCCTGCAGCAGAGGTGGGAGAGGCTCATGCCACCACTGCTGCGCTCGCTCACCAACTGTGAGCCTGGCTTCTGGCTGAGCTGCACTCCCCACTGTGGAAGCACACTGACCACCAAGGGGCAGTTCCTGCATTGAGCATCTGCCCCCTGGTGGTCAGTGCGCGTCATAGTGACCAGTTAGTTGTTCTGCTGTTCGGTCAATTTGCATATTAGGGTTTTATTATATAAGATTCCTCTCCCATGGACTCCCGTTCCTTAAAACTGCCTCTCCTATCTCTAAAAGGATTCAACACATACATTAGCTTTGTTAAACTTAGCAATAATTCTGTGTGAGAGTTACTGATTTTCTGTTTACCATCAGGAAACTAAGGTTCAGAGAGTTTATGAAATTTGCTCAAGGCCTGATAGCTAGCAAATAGTTCAACTGGAATTGTGAACCCTGGTCTTGGCAAGATACTAGATGGCAAGTTTTATGTGTGACTGGTTAAGGACAGATCCATGCCCTGTAAAAATTGGATGAGACAATGGTAATTATATTTTTTTATTAAAATGGAAGGGACTGACTCAGGCTTTTACCAGTTTCAGTGGCTCACCAACTCACACATTGGCTAGGGAAACTTTCACACACCTAACACTCTAAATGAATGCAATGCACAACAAAGCAGAGTACAATAATTACACATGTACTCGATGGAAAAGTTATTAATCATAATCTTCAATTTTCCATTCATGTATATTTTCATAAATAGTTATGTGTTTGGGGATTCCCAAGACTACTCTCAGGTTCAGTGATTTTACTAGAAGAGCTCACAGAGCTCAGAAAAACTATTATACTCATAGTTACTGTTTCTACAACCAAAGGATACAGATTAAAAACAGCAAAGACAAAAGGTTCAGTGAGTGGAGTCCAGGAGAGACCAGGTTTAAACTTCAGTTGTCTTTTTCCAGTTGAGTCATATATGGCAGAACTTAATTAAATATCTCAGAAATTATGAATAACAACACATACAGAGTGTCAGCAACCAGGGAAGTTCACTTAAGCCTTTGTGTTCAGGGTTTTTATCAGGGGTAGGATACATAGGCATAGAGTACCCATATGACCAATTTTAGTTGCTCAAGCTTCAGTGCCTCCAAAGGTCAAACTGTTATGGCATGAGCATGGCCCAATGGCCCCCAAATAAATCACATTGTTAGCTTAAACTATCTGGAATGGCCAAAGGCCCCAAGTAGATAAAGATACTCTTATCAAGCAGGATATTTCAAAGGCTGAGAGGAGATCTCCCAAGAGCTTATTCAGAGTCATTCTTTGTTTGGAAAGTGCAGAGTTTGAATATTAAGCCTTTATCACACAGTTAATATTTGAGAAAACTCCATACTATTTTCCACAGTGGCTGCACAAGTCCACATTCTCACCAGCAGTGTACAAGGGTTCCGTTTTCTCCACATCCTCACGAACACTTGTTTGTTGATTTGTTCATGATAGCATTCTGACATTTGTGAGGTTATACCTCATTGTTGTTTTAATTTGCACCTCTCAGATGACTAGTGACTTTGAGCATTTTCTCATATGTCTCTTGGCCTTCTGTATATCCACTTTGGAGAAGTGTCTATTTAGGTTCTTTGCCCGTTTTTTAATTGGATTGTTTATCTTCTTTTTGTTAAGTTGTATGAGTTCCCTAAAAGACTCACACAAAATAAACTGAAGGGTTGGAAAAAAAATTTCCAGGCAAATGGGAATGAAAAAAAAAGCTAGGGTAGCAACATTCATATCTGACAAAATAGACTTCAAAGTGAAATCCATAACAAGAGACAATGAAGGTCACTTCATAATACTAAAGGGATCAATACAACAAGGGAATATAACTTTGGTAAACATATATACACCCAATACAGGAGCATCCAAATATAAAAACAAACTTGTAGAAGATGTTAAGGTAGATATGGACAGCAATAAATCATAGTAGGGGACTTAACACCCCACTGACACCACTTGATAAATCTTCTAGAGAAAAAATTAAAAAGTAAACAGAAATCCTAAATGACACACTAAATCAGATGGAATTAATTGACATTTACAGAACATTTCACCCCAAAGCTATAGAATTTACATTCTTTCCAATGGCACATAAGTCATTTTCAAAGCTAGAGCATATGTTATGACACAAACTAAGTCTCTTCAAACATAGAAACATTGAACAGACCATCAAACCTCAGAGGAAAAGCAGGGGAGGGCGGGAAGGGGGGGTAGGAGATCAACCAAAGGACTTGTATGCATGCATATAAGCATAACCAATGGACATAGACAGTAGGGGGATGAGCATGTGATGGGGGGGGTTAGAGCGGCCAGGGAAAGGTCAATGGCGGGGGCGGGGGAGAAAGCATATGTAATAATTACAATAAAGAATTTAAAATAGAAAACAAACAAAAAAGAAGATTGAAATCATGTCAAGCATCTTCTCAGATCACAATGGCATAAAATTATAAATCAACTATAATAAAAACACTCAGAAACATTCAAATACATGGAGGCTAAATAGCAAGTTATTAAACAACCAGAGGCCCGGTGCATGAAAATTCATGCACTAGGGGTGGGGTCCCTCAGCCAGGCCTGCTCTCTCTCACAGTCTGGGAGCCCTCAAGGGATGTCCTAAGCCTCAGTCTGGTCTCCCTCCATAGGAGGCGACCAGGCTGATCAGGGTAAGGCACCTCCCCCATCAATATGCTGCGGCGGCTTATCCTTCGGCCCTCATAGCCGCCACAGCTTTGTCAGGAAGACGTCTGGTCTATGCAGTCTAATTAGCATATTACCCTTTTATTAGTATAGATGAATGGGTTACCAAAGAGATCAAGAGACAAATAAAAAAACTTCCTGGATACAAATGAAAATGAACACACAACAACCCAAAACATAAAGGACATAGTGAAAGCAGGCCTAACTAAAAAGCAAGGAAAACTTCTAAGAAACTATCTAACCCTACAACTTAAAGATTTAGAAAGAGATAACAAAAAAATCCCAAAATAAGTAGAAGGAAGAAAATAATAAAGAACAGAGTGGAAATAAATGACATAGAGACTAAAAATAAAAAATACAAAGGATCAATGAAACTAAGAGCTGTTTCTTTGAAAAGATAAACAAGATTAATGAACCTTTAATCAGACTCATCAAGAAACAGAGAGAGCCCTAGCCAGTTTGGCTTAGTGGATAGAGCATTAGCCTGCAGACCAAAGGGTCCCAGGTTTGATTCCGGTCAAGGGCATGTACCTTGGTAACAAAGAGAGAGGACCCAAATAAACAAAATCAGAAATGAAAGAGGTGAAGTAACAATTGACCTCACAAAAATACAAAGGATCATAAAAAAATACTATGAACCACTATATTCCAACAAGTGGACAACCTGGATGAAATGGACATATTTCTAGAAAAATACAATCTTCCAAAACTCAATCAGGAATAATCAGAAAACTTGAATAGACCCATAACTACCAATGAAATGGAAGTAGTAATAAAAAAAAACTGTACATATTGAGAATTTAATAATGAGTGCATAAATCACAGATTTACAGATTTTTCCTTTCGAAATACTTTTCATGGTAGTATCATGAAAATGTGATGCAAATCCCAAAGGAAATTTGTCTAGAGATTTGACAAACCTTTACCTTGCCGTCCAATTAGAAAATGGATTATAGGAAAGAGTCATCTAAAAACTAGATAATATATTTATTGCCAGAATCTTCTTGAGAGAAACTGGCTGTTTGACTGTACCTTTATTTCCTGATCACAACCAAGTTCTCTTGAGTATCTGTCCCTGAGAGATTGTTGCATTCCTCCAAAGGAGCCATATAAATGCACTGAAATTCAGGAATAGAAGTTGCCTTGAAGCCTTTTGAGGATCTCCAATTTGGTTTTATGTTTTTCTTTCTTTGTGTTCACTCATGTTTCCAGGTTCCTGATTGCTGAACTTTGAATTGCCTTCTCTTTTGGTTCTTAAGCATTCGTATTGCCAGCCCTCCTTTTTAAGTTTGCACTAACTATGGCTAGTCTCACAAGTTTGGATTCCTGACCATGTGATTCCTGACTACTATCTTCACAACTTGTCACACACTTTATCAAAACCAGTTTCCTGATCTGAGTCTACAGTCATGACTCATTATTGCTTTCATTCCAAAAAATGAGAGAGGAGTGCTCATCCTAGATGGCTGCCAGAATTCATGCTATCATTTTCTCTGTATTACTCTGTACTTTTCAAAGCATGACCACAATTGGTCTAATTTGTGCTTACAACAATTTCATTATACAGCGAGTTACTCATTCCCATTTTATTAAGAAAACTGAGACTAAAATAGGTCAAATAGTTTACTTAATATTAAGATTCAATCATTTGAAAGATAGTTTTGAGGAATTTAACTTCCTCAAAATCCATATTTTAAGAAATTTAATAGTCCTTTAGAGGAATGATTGTGTTGACTTAAAAAGTCTTTGTTCTTCTCTCATTAATAGTTGAAATAAGCAAATGTATTTGTATCAAGTTGTTAAATTTACTGAACTGCTAAAATCTCTGCCTTTTCTTTCTTCCTTCTTTTCTTTGCCCAAACATTTGTTGAGTACTAACCATGTATCAGTCAATGATCACAGTATATTACTGAAGATTTAATTTGCAAGAAAGACATAATCCTTGCTGTCAAGTAGCTGCCAATCTAGTGAGAAAGAAAACAAAACATGTGGCAAATGACTACAACTTCATGTTTTTTCATAAAAATAATTATAATAAAACTATCACCTTCCAAAATCATGTTATTTACTTAAATTTTACAAATTTATTGTCTTGTGTCCTTTTTAGAATGCAAGTGCAACCAAGACAGGCACTTTGTTTTATTTGTTGCTGTATTTCCTGTGCCTTGGGACTATTCATGGCTTGCAGAATACACTCAATAGTAGTAACAAAGAAGATGTTTATTTTCTTTTAGGCTTTTTAATAACAATTATTCATATTATGTTTCTAGTGAATGAAGAATGTTTATCAAATACATGAATTCAATGTATTTTTCTTAAAGTTTTGGTTGTTTTAGGTTGAACTTCTTTTTCAAGTATTCTACCCTTATCCAACAGGCCATTTGTGTTATATTATTTAATAGACACACAATCTTTTAAATATAGAATTCTTTTCATTTATTTAACAACAAATATGTACTGAAAGAAATGTACAATGTCTCTTTAAAGTTGTTCTATTTCATGGCTTCATTATTTGCGACTAGAATGCTTTCTGATGAATCTATAATGAATATTACAGAGATGCTCCTTGTTTATGCAATAATAGAGGAATGAGTTTTTATTTAATTGTCTATATGACATTTCATTTATGGTTAATGCTTATTGAGTAAGATGATCACAAAGCTCAAAGAATTGTTGTTTCAGTTATATTGACCATTTTGTTTAAAGTTGCTGTGTTCCAAGTTCCATTGCTTCTTTACTCTTATTCTATTTTGTGTTATACGTGACTAGAGGCCTGATACACAAAATTCGTACAAGGAGCTTGGCCCCCACCACCGCAGTGGCTGCCTCTGTCTTGGCCCCCGCTGCTGTGGCTTCATCCAGAAGGTCATCCAGAAGGACATCTGGTCTAAACCGGCAGTCGGACATCCCCTGAGGGGTCCCAGCTTGGAATTTCATACACTGGGCCTCTACTATATATATATATTTAGTATTTATATTTAGTATTTAAAAAACTAAAGTGTATTCTGCTACAGGAGAAACTAAGATGGCGGCATAGGAAAATACCGGGAAATTGCTGCCTTCCACAACAACTTCAAAATACAACGAAAAGACAAGACGGACATCACCCAGAACTACAGGAAGGCTGGCTGAGTGGAAATTCTACAACTAGAAGGAAAGAAAAGCACACTGAGAGCCAGAGGAGCTGCAGAAGTAAAGTGAAGAGGTACGGAGGTTCGTGCACAGAAAGGGGCTGGCACCTGAGGATTCGGCTGTCTTTTTGAATCGGGAGGGAGTCACAAGCTCCCGACTGCTCTGAACTCCGG